GGGAGGCAGGGGGAGGTGGGCGCGGCGGGGGGGGGGCGGGGGGGTGGGGGGGGGGGGGGGGGGGGGGGGGGGGGGGAGACAAAGGTTATGTGACACCCTGTATAATCATCATAAAAAATTCCTCATTGATAGTGGTTCCTCTAGACATAAGTGATATCATCCTTTTTCAATCCAGATTCCACTGTAAACAGAACTAATATTGTCAATGTCTGAAGCTGTTTCTCTAGAAATAATTCTCTTCATTCTTGAAAAATAACAACGAACCATAGATTCTGTAAGTATCTACAAATATGATCATTATCCTCGATTTATATCAGTCATATATTGGTCAATTTGATGAGAAACTTCTTTGATAATAAATGATAAAACCTCTCTTATTTAACATCAATCACCAAGTGGGACATCTTTAATTTGATTTTTATGAAATTTCTAAAGTTATACAAGATGAATCATATCTACAAAACATCGTTCGTTCTTTATTACTACAAAAAAATGAGAACATATCTTTCCAACCTAATAGATTATTGATATATTTATTAAAACAAAACTAATTTATTTAACAGATTATCATTTATTACACAAAACTATATAGATTTTTTATTTTCTTCCAACAATAGAGAGAAAAAAAATTTTCTCGTACTTTATGATTCTGTCATTCAGAACATTGTAAAAGATACTATTTTTGCATGAGGAAAATATTCTTTTAAAGATGAATTGAAATTTCTATTTTGAGCATCTAAATTTAAATAATTTATTTTTCTACAATTAAATCGTGTAGCATCTCTTGTAAAATTGTTTGTTACTCGTTCTAAAGATTTATAATTAGTATAAAGAGAAACATTATTTGGTAAAGACGTTTTAGTATTTAATAGAAATTGTTCTAGATAATCATCATGAACATTGACGAGATCAATTTCATTCAAATATAAATATTCAATAGGAGATAAATATTGATTATCATTATTAAATTCATAAGATTGTTTACGATTTTGTGATTTAAGATTAACGATAGATAATTGTTCAAGAAATGGAAATGATTTTTGAATTTGAATAAAAAATTCATGTTCAAAAGGAGTATCATCATATAATGACACAACACGAACATATTGAAATAATCCACCTGGAAAATTATTTGTTATATAATAATAATATGTCATTAAAGATGGATACGAATAAATATGACATCGACCTCTTTGGAATTCTGACAAATAATCAACATAAGAAATAATTTCATTTGTAAAATCAATGAATGTCTGTTGAATATCTTCTGTTGATGGAAAATATATTGAATCATCAATATGCACCATTGAGATAATAGAAAATCTAAATTGTTTTAATCTTGGCATTCGATTAATAATGTTTTTCTTCAAATGATTTCCATCAATAAATATTTCATTAAAATCGACTGTAAGATTTAAATCAAGTTCCTCTAGATTTGACATTCGATTGAGAAGTGGAAGAATTGTTTCATTATAATGATTTGTTTCGTGCCCAGATGACAGAGATAAACACTTTAGATTTGGTAAATCACCCTAAAAAAAAATTATTTAACAATATAAAAATTTTTTTTACAAAACAAACTTCATTTTGAATTTTATTGTGATAAATATCTACAATATTTACCATATCAACAATGAGCGTATGAAGTTGATTAAAACGACCATCAAGAATATAAAGACAATCTTCAAACCATTGTACTTTTATATTCAACTTCAAAAGAGTTGAACAACAAAAAGTAGAAGGAGGTGGATTATCAAAACATAATCGAACACAATTTTTATATGATGATTCATATAATGTTAAACTAATTAAATTATTGAAAATAGTCAATATGTAATTAAATATGTTTATTATTGCTAATTCTGTTATGTTATTATTATTAATTGTAATAAAAAGTCTTCTAATCTGATTTTTGAAAATATCAGATGAAACCTTTTTATCTAAATATATTAATATGATAAGTTTCATTGATTTTTAATTTTTATTTTTGCAATAAGAAAAGAAATATCGTACCAGTAAAAAGACATCGAGTTGATTCTTCATTAATATTAAATAGACCAAGAGTATGTAAATTAGGATAATTGCCAGCACCTAAAATATAATTCATAGATGATGATTCGAGATCAAGCCATTCAATTTTATGTTGAATTGAAGGTAAAATTTGTAAACAAAATCGATTAAGTATCATTTCACAAGAAATTAAATCGATAAAATTATCTGATGACCACTTAACAAAAGTCAAATGACTGGTAAAAATTCGATCTTGAATAAGTTACGAAAAATTACTAAGAGGGCAGATTGACTTGTCTCAAGAGGGTCAGTGGACTTGTCCTCTTGGATATGTTCAGTCGATCAAATACTCACAATATTTTTTTTTCGCCATTTGACAAGTGCACTGATCCTCTTGAGACAAGTCAATCTGCCCTCTTAGTAATTTTTCGTACAAAGCAGCAAAAGTTAACTACTCAAATTAGCGCAGAAAATCTTTATCATACGACAAAAGAACGCCATCTAGAAAAAAGAATGGTGCTTCTATTTTTTTCTTTCCTGTAGTATATGTGAAAAGAACGACCAATCAACGTCGTAAGCCGAGTAGACCGTAGGCCAAAAATTCGGCCGATTATTATTACCCTCTTCTTTATATAGATAGATACGCGTACGGCAGAACGAAAGAAAGAACCAAAGAAAAAGCAAAAAAGTTCTTCTTGCAGGGAATTTCGTTTGAAAAATTTTTCCTTGGGACTACACTATACGCCGCGCTCATATTCTAGTGTAATTCTCAGTTTTTTTACGCTCTTTCTAACGATGCGAATCTTACGTATTAGAATTTTAGAAAATTTTTTTCGACGGTTTGATATTTGCAACTTTTTACTTCTTGTTGATCGACAATCACTTTTACTGGACGTAAGAAATATTTTAATTTCTCCTTTAGAATAAATTCAAATCAATGGTTGATACTAAGTATTCAGGAAAATTTAAAATTCTCCTATAGGAAAAAATTAACATTTTATAAGTTGAAATTAATATTAAAATTTTTCTAAGAAAATTTAAAATTTGTTTAAGTTTTACTTTCACATGCGACATATACATATTAAACAACTAAGAAAAGAGAAATAACAATATTGATTCATTCATTTATTCCTATTTTCAATTAATTATCAATGTTGACGAGAGAAAAATGTGTTATTGTTTGTATCGACGAGATCGGTCAAATAGAATAAATGAATATATGTATATAAATATTCATTTTTCGTATATCGAAAGAATAGATCAGGAAGAATAAACATGTTCAATACATACATTACATTAAATGATTTATCTGATGAAATTCTTATAATTATATTAAAAAAATTAAAGAATTTTGATATAGTTTATTCTTTGCAAGNGTTCAAAAACTATTTATTTTGATTAGATTTCATAAAAATAAACCACATGACTAAAAAAGAATGGGAAAAATTGAATAATATAGAGATTTTGTCGAAATTCGTTCTAAATTCATCATTAATGTTTTTAAACATTGGCTTCACGAAAAAACAACACAGATCGTTTACTCTTTTCAACCATCGTATTTTTCTTATATTCTCATTTTTTCATTATATTGCTTCAAAATTTCGTGCACATATAACAAAAAAAGCCTTGTTCAAATGTTATGCGTGCAAGAATATAGAAAGGTAACAAAATAAAATAAAATGTCATCATCGTATTGCTGAATGCGATTTTCTAGTTGTGATTTCAAAAAAAAATATATTAAGATCTAAGTGCTTATGAAATTTTTATAAAAACTTATATGTACCCCTGGTATTTCTTAGTTTCTCCTCTGTACTTTGTCATTTAATATCAAGGACGAATGAATATAACAGAACAATATATGTGCTCACAAGAAGTATGAGAGTTGTCAATGTTCTGATAATTAAACAAAAAGTCTTCTAAGCTTTTTGTTCTTCTTCAATAGTAAAAACTATTGATTGTGCCACAGCTACATTGTTTCTCAATTTTCGATTAATTGGATAAGATATTTATTTGTATTGAACATTTTCTTTTTTTAAAACAAAGCAATTCTAAACTAAGTAAAAGTCAGTGGAGAATTAATTTGAATAGACTTTTTGTTGATAATGTCTCAAGTCTCTTAGTTGATCGGAAGATGTTTTTTTTTTATCGATGATTTTGATCACATGTTACTTAAGAACTATCAGGATAATAAGATTCTATTTGATCTCTTACATTAAGAAAATTTGCCTATGAAAATAGAAGTTGTTAACAACTGAAGCTTGAGAATAAAAGAGAAGAGATATCTTTTCACATAATTATGTATTATAGAAATTCTTCTGATAAAAATTGAGTTTTTATTCAAGTGATTAAGACTGCATTACAACTGATATCAATAAACATCAACTAAAATCTTTCACTTTAATATTTGATTATTAATTAATTAGGAGGAAATATATGAACTCATTTTTTTTTATAAAAAAAGACTTTGAGACAATGAACTTGAAACAATAAATGCCACACATGTATTGATAAGAGACTTCAAATCATTTAACATGCTTTTGAAGAGCAGAGAAGTTTGAAATTTCTGCTTTTTTCTATTTTGAATCTATTCTATAAAGATTGAAATTTTCGAATTCTCATTCAAACCAAGATCTTGCAAATGCATTCGAGTTTGATTGAATCCAAAGTCGAAAATTTCGGCTTACTGACTGATTCTGAGAGGATTTCTACGAGTGTAAATTAAAAGTACCTCTACATCCTCCTCCGAACAATCAAATTTTTGTTTTTGAATCAGCTGAAGACGTAATATGCCGAAACTAATGATCTTTAATCTCTAGCGCACTTATTATTGCAACATAGATTTGGATTTTATGTTTTTCTTGCTTCAGTTTAACGATTGACTAAAATTTAATCTAGCGAAATACATTTTTTCAATGATTATTTTAACGGTTATTGACCGTTACACCTTAATCCATTAATGTTGTTCTCTCTGTTGGATTCATGTGGCGATGTTATGATTATCTTTCATCGGACCATTTTATGTCTATTTCTTCTCTATTGTTATTCATCCACGAGTGATTTCTGTCTCTCTATTCTATCCAAAGTGATATAATGCCCGATGGCGAAATACACTGTCAATATTCATGAAGGTCGGTAACATTTTCTCAATGCGCGAAAAAGCTGTTTTACTTTTCTTCTGTAATGCTTTTTTTTACCTGTTCTTTCTTTCTTGGCCATCATGCTTGATTAAAATTTTTTTTTTCTTCAATCAATGGACCTGTTGTATGAATATATGAACGATATGAATTACAGTGTAAACAGAGGAAATATATTGCTCAATGCTATCTCGATATTTCTTTTCATCAGGTCATCACATATTGTATCATTTTATGTCTTCAAATGAATTACATTGTATAACATTGAACATTTTGTTCTAGATTTTACTGCAGTAATGACAATAAATAGGGCAATATTCGAATCAATATCCAATGAATTTTTGCTTGAATTATTCGAATTATTTAATTCAATTGATCTTTTTCGTGCTTTTCATGATCTCAATGGACGTTTTAATTCTCTATTATTTATTATCTATTTTCAAAATTATCCTATTGATTTTCATTCGATAATAGAAGCAGATTTCGATATTTTCTGTCAAACATACTTTTCATCAATAGTCAATCGTACAATTTATCTACGACTCTCTGACGATGACGACACACCATATCAATGTACTCAATTTCTACCAGCTGATCTTACGTTAGGTAGATTTAATAATCTTCGTTCTCTAACATTTGATTGTGTTAGTTCAGATCCAAAGATTAAACAATCATTTTTTTCCGACTTATATCATCTAGATCGGTTAAAACATCTGAAACTTGTCGATTGTTTCATGCCAATATACAAGATTTTCACAATATAATTGATCAAACTTGGAATCTATAAAAATTGACTCATTTATATTGGCATTTCAGTTTTACAGCTGATGGTCATTTTTCTGTTCTTTCTGTTGTATCAAGATCTTTGCAAAATGTAACTATTTGTCAGGCTTATTGGTGTTCATGTCAATTACTTGATTTCTTTGAAAAGACACCTCAGTTAAAAAAATTCTCAATAGCATTAAGTACTTATGAAGAAGACGATCTTCCTCTTTTTGGTAAATTCATACCATCACCTAAGAATCTATCTGACGTACGTTCATATCGTTTAATGACTAATCTATTTCAATTATTGTCTAATATTACTCATTTAAAAATTGAAACTTTTCTCATGATTGATGGACACTAGTGGCAACAAATTATTATTAATTATTTGCTAGAATTGGATATTTTTACAATTTCTAATGTACTCCAATCTTGGTCTCTACATTGATGATCAAACTGATGAAGAAACAGTCTATCAATATCTTGCAACACATCGTACTCCATTTTTGATTGAATATCATCAATGGTTTAGTCGGTGCCATTGGCGACGATGAGTGGAATGTAGTTCGATTCGTGTGTATTCATTACCTTATGCATTTTATTATTTTCCTACTTTCCATAATGAATTAGATTCTAAAACAAAATTGACTTGTCTCAGTGAAATGCATTTTCCCTCTGATTCCGTTCGTAATGTAGGATATTCATTACCGATCTTCGACGATGCAATGCTGTACAATATTCAACTTATCAATATAGAACGCCTATCTTTTCAACTTTCGATTGATGATCGATTTCTGTCAATTATTCCCGATTTTGAAAGTTTACATTCACTTTGTGTAACTGTTCCGACGATAATTGGTCAATCGCAATTACAAGCGTTACTTGATAATGCATCACGTCTATATTCATTGTCGTTTGAATCATGAAATACTTCTACCACGCCATCATATCAATGTACCAGTGGATCAATGTATCGACTCGATTTGCAAGGTTCCAGCCAATCTGGTTGTAAACATCGTTATACTAGTCAATAATGTTTAGATTTAAGTCGATCACCCTTAGGTATTCAATGTCATGTACTACTTATTGAAGTCGAAAAATCTATGTGTATTTTGGCATTAAATCATTTTATGATCAATATGATCAACGTAGAAATAAGTTTGATCTTGTCAAACGTTTACAAAACTGTTTGCGGTCAAAATGGATTGTAACTCGAATGTGTTATGGATTGCTTATTATTAAGTCATGATTTTTTTTTGTATAGAAATTTAGTTGAATAAACGAGTAGAAGAACTTGAAAATAAGAAAGCTATTATTCATACTGCTTTCTATTCTAAAGGATGTGAGTATTAGTGTGGAAGTAGGAGGAGTGGAATATTCAAATCCGTTACAATCTCATTCTTAATAAATTAGTCAAGTTATTTTAATGAAATAGAGTAGTTACATAAATTTTACCACGCTTCAGAAATATAACATTGGACAGGACTAGGTAGTTCTTGAGGGTGTGGGTGAAGGAAAGAGCTACATCCAAACGCAAGTGATTTTCTCTTTTCAATAATTGATATTTCGAAACACAAATATTATTCCTCCTCTCGAGCTCTATTTCAAAACAAATTAATAAATTCATATTCTGATACATGTTGAGGAGTTGAGCAAAATGTTTTATATAAAAAAAAAGAGTTATTTCTGTTCTTAATGACAAAGTTCTACTTCGTTAGTTACTTAATGATAGGTTCAAACTGATGACTTCTTTGCTAAATCCTAACTTTTGATCATTTTGTTTTCAATTATTCGAGATCTCCGAAAATGTCTTCCTCTCTGTACATTCAATTTCTGTCATTTCATTCGATGAGTTGCATATTTTGTGTTCAAAGTACATTCTTTTTCGAATAAAACATAAGAATAACATCTGATATTGATACATAAATGTTTGAGTAATGTTTCCAGAAATTCATTCATGTGGTAGTGTTTTGATAGAAATGCTTCATATCCAAAGTCACACCTTAGTCAAGTCATATAAGTGTAATTCTCAAGACTAATCTTTTCAGCTGATCTATCAAACAAACTACGATCGTATGTCATCATGTCTAGAGTAGTCGTAAATGCTCATGCAGATTATTTACTTCATAGAAATATACACTCGTAATACGCTTCACAAATTAATACCGAAATGTCAGCCTACAATAACTAGAGATGACAACAAATGAGTCGAATCTTGTTTGAATTTAGTTTAAATATTTTTAAAACTTATTAATTACTATATGAAAGCATGAATAGTTGAGAAGAATCTGAAAAGCATCTTGTGTCTGCTTATTATAAAATCGACATATTTTCATATGCAAACTGTTATATCCATTCCTAATTTCACCTCCTATGAAAGCTAAATAGCAATGACTGCTACTTTACCTTTTGAATATCTTATGACCGTCTATATTAAATTTAAAAAAATGAATGATTGTTGTCCGCGGCTATCGATCTTATACTTATAAATACGTACTTGTTGAAAAAGAACGTACACTTCTTGTTTTCATTACAATGTCAATCGAGCTCTGGTTCACCTTGGGCAAAATTCTTATCAATAATTGGGATGATGGTAAATAAAATATTCTTCTGGACGTTGTTCAAAAAGTATATGATTAATTTGAAAGTAAGTCTGTCCAACAAAATAAGACAATTGATCTTATCAACATATTTCATTCAGACTAAATTAGGATTAAGCCAAAATGTCAAGACACATTTTAACGATTTATCCAACAAAATTCTTCTCATGATATGTCACTATTTGACTCCAATAAGAGTACTCAAAGCATTTTACAATTATGATAATCGTATGTTTTCTTGCATATTTGAATATCGACAAAATATCGATTTGACCAAATTTTCTTATTCGGATCTTCAATATTTTCTTCCATTATTCACCGAAAGATATTTTCAATCGATAATATTAACTGTTAGTAATGATCGAATGCCCACACAGATTGAAATATTTTACGATGCATGTAACTCACAATGGAACTTTCTTTGTAATGATGTTCGTCATTTATCGTTAAGTAAGTGTACAAGGAGCAATCTTCAGAGATTTGATTCATGTTAAAAAAAGGTTTGAATCATTAGAATCTTTGAGTATCGTTGAATCAACATTAAATGAAAATAATTCGTTAATGGATTACGACATCATTGAAAACCTTCGCAATTTAATGCTCAAGAAACTTGTCAAACTCGAATTGAGTACTAATGAAGGTATTATTCTCGACAAACAATTGCACCCAAATGAATATCTTTAACAATTGACTATTTCACTGCAAACATTAAATAATCTCTTTATTCTATTCGATGGTCTTCTGCCGAATTTAATTGTACTCAATGTTAATATCTATCAATCTAATACATGCAAACGAACATCAATATCTCGATGTTGGCCACGTAGATTCATGTCACATTTAGTTGAACTTCAATTAAAAACCGATGCGAATGTGGAAATGACTTTTGATCAAATTCGCCGTAGTTTCATGCCTCTTATTCAACTCGAAAAACTCATGATAGATGTGAGCAAATGGTTTAGTTGCGATCAACAATTCGTACAAGGAAATCAAATTGAAATGTTAATCAATGAATTTATGTCTCGACTTGGTCATTTTCATTGTTCTATAAAGACAATATATAACATCGAAATGCAGGTAAAAATTGTCCTATATTTATATGAATAGTATCATTGGGATTTTTTTCAGACTTTTACGACGTTAAGCAAACGTTGGCCGATGGCATGTAGATCGATATCTGACAATTTGCACAAACATTTATATACGATTCCTTGGTCATTCGAACGACTACATTTATCAATGTTGGCCGAAGATGATACCGAAAGTATTTGTCCGAATGTTCGATATCTAACTGTCGATGTCCCGTGCATAAATCTTTTGTATCCTTTTCCAAATGTGCACACGCTCATCGTTCTTTCGCAAAGTAATCTCGCTCGTGATGACTTTGTTGGACTTCGTCGTCTTCAACATTTGACAATAGACAACATGGAAATGATTCCATTGCCTCTAACACGACATATTCACACACTGACATTGTCTAAGTTATCTGAAATGTCGAGCAAACCTATCATTTATCCCCAATGTGCTACATTTAATTTTAGAAAATGATCAAATCGATTCGTTGGTAATTATTACTTCTTTTGTACGATATTTTCCTAATATTTGTTCGCTCGAAATTCAGCTTAAGCATAATAGTGAATACTACGATTGTCTCAATGTTCTACTCGATGGTAAACAGTTGCCTAATCTATCCCTGCTAAAAACAAATTGGGTCGATCAACGTACATATTGTTCGAACACTAAAGTATGGATTTCTGCCAATACACAATTGAAATGGAAATCGACTCCATTTTATGGACATTGTGATCGAAAGTGTTTAAATATTTGTTTGTGACTACCTTGTTTTGTTTTGTTGTCGTACACGTTAATCAGACCTCAACTTATTGTTTTCCCTTCCATTCACTCTATTCTTGTACCTGATTTATTCATAAATGTATATTAAATGTAATAAATTATATCACATATGCTTTTCTATCATTTCGATCATGCGTTTATGCCCAATAAAAGCTTTCAGTGCAATCCCTACGGAACTAAAATGTGAAACACGATGAGCTCAATTTAATCTTAATCGAGAAACTTAATCACTTCTATCAGAGTTTGTGAGCAACATGTCGATATGTCTGTCACGGTCTATGAGATGGGTGTGCAACAAAGATCACAAGATACTCATTTTTTAAACACTATAGATCATTGCCAAATACGAACTGTGATATATTTTTGTTCTCTATTAGTCAAGATCTATTTGGTCTTCATTTTTCAATAGCTTCTCTTATTCCCTAGACTGAAAGGCTAGAGTCTAGAAACCATAAGTCACCTGTGCCTGTTTGTAACAAGGCCTTGGCACTAATGAACATTTTTGTGTTACAATTGACCATGTCCGTGGTAGAAATTATGCACAATACTATCTTTAAATGTTTTAGGTCAACTGCTTGAATATATCTACAGTATGTAATGCACAACATATTAAAAATACTAATGATTTCTCTTTTCGCCATCATTGTACAGAAATCATTTTTATATAAAAATATAAGCACATTTTTGTCATCATTTCGTCAGTCTAAGGCCCAGTGAATCAACGTTCAATGTTGATGAACGTTACTTTTTGTAGCTATTCTTGAGAAATTTCGCTAAAACTTCTGAATCACAGGCTGTGGGTGTGAGGACTGTGAGTATTGGAGTAATTGTGGGTTTGAGAGAACACTACACTCAATTTCCACATCCACACCGTAGACCTCTATAAATGTTCAATAATGCACCAACATTAAATATGAAGTCAAGGAATTATTGAGAACAAAGATTTTCAATACAAAATATAAAATCATCCCCGTATCTATTCACATCTCTGAATAAAGCATTCCAAATAAATGAAGCAATATTTCTGTAAATAATTGAAATAGTCCTGTCATTTTGATCTACATGAAGAAATACACTTTATGTCTTAATAGCATTTACTGCAATATCAATCGTTTTTTTGACTAAAGAACAATACTATTTCTCTCTTAGGCTTTCTTAAATCAAAATAAAAGACAATTATTCCGTAAATTAATGCTAGAAAGTAAAAAATAGTTTTGATAAAGATAATAAAAGATATCTGGTAAAGTAATCTACCTAATTTGAAAATATCTTTGAACCAAAACCTTACTTCGCAGTAGACAATCAACTGGATTGATGCAGAAAATAAACATAGAACAACTCCATAAACTGAATACTTCCCGGTTTGTTGTAGTGAAAATGTGTTTTCAGGAAAAATCTTTGGCATATATCCTAATTGTAGAGTAGATCAAGATGTGAGTCTAAAAAGAAACTCTTTTTCTATTCTTTAACGAAAGTTTAAGCTAAATGTAATGGAGTTCTTAGTTTCTTCAAATTATCTACAGAAGCAATGTGAATCTTTAGATTTACTTTGAACGTAATGTTGCTTATATAGAAAAATTATACTCCGATGATACAGCATCACACATCCTCAATGGAGTATACTTGTCTGGAGAAATGTACTTGAGGAAAAGTATAACGATGAAAGAGTCATTGTTTAGAGACAGAACTATTACTAACCGATAATTAATGAAAAACATCTTTCATTCAAACCTTCAACTATGTGAACTTCTGACTTAACACAAGACACCCGACGAATATCAGGTCTTTAGTAGATCTTAATTCTTGTTTTGGTTTTTTCTTTGGTTCAGCATTGTTCACACAATTATAGAGTAACAAAAGATCAGTGAAAGAAACTGTCAATATTGCAATCAATTATGCCAAAAGAAATGTTGAGCAATATTACATGTTCACGTTCAGGTGCGATATATTAGTTGCATTGATTTTAGATTGTTCTTGGTTAAATTGGGTAGATGCGAAAATGAGGTGTTGGTTTGGGTAGTAGATGTGGATATGTAGATGTTCTCTTCACATCCACATCCTCGAAAATTAGAAATGATGTATAAAATGATCCGTATCCTTCAATGCTTATGACAATAGTGTTTTTCAGGTAACCACTGAAATCGATTATAATTTTAATGAACATTACATCATATAGAACATAAAGATTTCTTTGTTGTAGAATCATTGTTAATAGAACAAAGTTCGGAGTGCCGCTTACTATACTTCATTGTCATCGTACAAATAAAACTTCATTTCATAGCTGAGTGCAGATTTCAGGAAACTTATCATAGTCACCTTAGATAAGAAAAGAAAAAAATGATACACATATGTACCTCCATCAGTTGCATTACTCTCTAAATACAGATGAGCTTTTATTGTATAGCTGATTCATCATAAATATCATGGAGACGAATTCATCGACGTTTGTTGCTCTGATTATGCACTAACCAGAAATTAAGGACAGAAACCACTCGTCAAAGAAATCGAAAGATTCCATGTTACGAATAATTCATTTCGTTAAAGCATACATTTATTAGTTAATATAATGATTTTTATCAATTGTACTCTTTCTCAAAAACATATTACTCAGAACACTTGAACTTACTTATTTTCTCCTCAAGATTTGTAATTTTTCAGGCAAATATTTCATCATATGAAATACAGTGTATTTCATTTATATTTTCTAACAAGGCTTATAAATTATGTTTAATAACATCTTATTCATTTGCTTGTATGTTCAAAAAGCGAGTACTTTTTGCATAATTAATTTAACTTGCACAAACTCTGTTCTGACTCTTAAGGTACTCATTAGATATTGAAGTCATTCCCTTTTTAAATGCTGTCCGTGTTCATTCCATTTCTGTGTCCCATCCGACAAACTATTTTATATGGCTCTTGACAATGAGATGCAGCAGAACTAATAATTTCACTAGGTGTTAATTGCACATGACAATTATTATTGTTTACTGAAATAATGATCCGATATATCATAACGAAGACTCATATTGAACAATCTTTAGTTTTCTTCCGATGATGACCCAAATAGTTGAGAATTTCTGTGAGTATGTTTCGAAGTCCTAATCATAATTAGCATTTGAATGTTTTCACCTCTTCAGAAAGCACCAGAAACGTAAAGATGTTTTAAAAGGTAACTATTGCATCTGATCAACTCTAAAAAAAGTTTCTCTGCAATATTTTGACATGTTCTGCTGATGAAAATAACTTCTTATTTCGTGGTATATGTGTGCAAAATATTGTGAGAAACATTTTGGAACGTTTTGAATATGTAAAAGTCGTTTTTCAAAGTGTCTTGATGCATCTCTAGGATCACGAAATAGTAGTGGTTATTATTTTTGGCTGCTCTGTTTGCATGGAAAAAATTTACAAAATCGGTACATCTATTAACAATATGACACATTTACGTTTGAATCAAACCCAAATTATCAGTGATCATAATACGATGCATCATTAACTGTTAAGAATAAAAAAGAAAACTTTATCAAAAATCCAAATAGACCTTGATTTCTTTTCGGACAAGAAGTTTAGACTCCTTGTTCCAAGTGGATTTTTTTCCTCAAATGGGATCAAACAAGTAAGAGCTATTTATGAATGTTTCAGAGATTTTCGATAAAACTATTTGGATAATGACTCTTTCAAGAAAATTCCCTTCCAGTACATTTTTTGTGTTATTAGACAAAGAAATGATTTCAGCTAATATGAAAGATCAATAAGCTTTGCTTGATCATGAAAAAAATATATAGAAAAACTTCAAAGAAAATACTTGATTTATATTTTAAATTGTAAAAAATTTTATAAATTCGAAACAAAATATGCTCGATTATTGATTCAATATTTGATATAAATTAAACGGTAGGTCATTGTTTAGATATTTATAGTTGGTCATAAGATCGTGATTGTGCTCTTCTTTCAGCTTCTTGCTTGATCATTGCTTGTTGAATATGCATTGGTATACCCAGATTGAGACTCAAAGCGTAAGGCAATAATGTTTTCAGTATTTCCCCGAAATCAATCATAATTTTGATAAATATGGCGTCATCTCGTACATAAGGATCACCCTCCTGTTGAATCGTTTCCAATGGACAAAATTTCTGTATACCGCTGACTATATTCCTATCCGATCGGGGTTCACAAAATGGAGGCGAATAAATTGATGTTTGTCTTTCAGACTGTGCATCAACTAAAAGTGTAACAAAATGAATGCGTCAAGAAGAGCAGAGGAAAATATAAAGGATTTTGAAAGGTCGACAGTATTGTTGATTCAATATATCAACAAATTACTCCAAGATTATGTTCGAGAATAATTATATATTATATTGAACACAACACTTATTCAAATACGTATTATTTATCGATTTAATAGAAACTGAACAACATATTACTCTGTGATGATCTTTTCAATAAGGTTTTCTATTTTTATCATTGAGGAAAAGACTGATTGGTCAACTTACGCATTTTCTCATGAAAGTATGTCATTTTCTAAACCAATGTTCCATTATGTGAAACACATCGAAAATCAATGATTTTTTCTTGCAATGATGATAAGTCTTGGCTAAGAGGGTCTTGATTGTGTTGCAATCCTTCCAAAAAAATGACTTGATTCTTCAAAAGATAATTTAACTTTTGATAATTTTTCTGCCAATGTTGGAAGTGAAATTGGTACTTGAAGTGGTTTATTAGCTTGACTTTGCTCATCATCGGTGGATATTGCTGTGTCATGTAATAGGATAGTGAGCCACTCAGTAGCCTCTTCTAATTGAGCTATGTCATGATCACAATTTCCTGTATTTGTAACTTCAGAAGAATCAATATGCGTTTTTCTATCATTTAATTGCGATAATCTTTGGCGAAGAGCATTGAGTACGGCATGTTGATGTTGTTTAGTCAAATAATGATTTTCAATTTTGGTGCGGATAATCTAAGGAACATGAAATTTATGATGTTGATTTTATTGAGAGAGTATTCATACTCGTTCATTGCAACCAAAATCTTTCAATGGACAGTCAACAATCAGTTGTTGACATTCAAAGACTTTATGTGCATTGAATTTGTTAATTCAATTGAACTGTTTACCACAATAGTCACATCTGAGATTTGAATGTGATTGATTAAGATGTTTCTTTGGAACACAAAGAAAAGAAGACTAAGAAACAAAATAAATATAAAAGGAATTACTCGGTAGTTTCTGAAGACACCATTCCCCTGAAAAAAAGAACAATCAATGCATAGTGATTTCATTTCATTTGCGAAGCCTCGATCAAGTAGTACCTATCGAAAAGAAATGTATTCTCTTTGTATGTATGATAAGAGGATGTGGGTGGAGTTTTGGTGTGAATATTCTCATCATTCAGTTTCATAACCACACCCACATCCATCGACTATCTAATGCTCTTTGATGAAAATCGATTGCCTTCTGTATATTACCCATATTCATTAGCAATCATCCGTAACCACTGTAGATCTTTGCTAAGTCTTCTTCGTAAGTAGATCCTTGTTTCTTTCTTATTTGAAGAACGATTTGATAATGTTTCATTGATCCTTGATAATATTGAGAATCACGATACGAGTAAGCAAAATCATTGTGTATCGTTGCTAGATCGATTTCATTCAGTTGTAAAGATTGTGGCACTTGTGATAAAACTTGACAATAATAAGCAATCGAACTTTGAAAATTAGACATAAGAACAAAGAATTTTCCATATGCAGAATAGCTCATTTTCTTTGCACTGACTATTTCTTCTATGGCATAATCATACAATGCTTTTTGTTAGAATCAAAGTAGTCCAAAATTATTAAAATGAAAGATGAAATCTAGTCAATAAAATGTAGGAATTCGATTGAAGATAAATGTTTTCTACTATTTTTTGAAGGAAAAAACATAATTCATCAATCTAGAACTCCAATATATTTGTAATACTCGCTACTAGATAGCTAAAATCTGATTTTATAATATAAGATGAAATTTTATGATTTGGAAAAGAAAAAGACACATGTAAATTAAGGCGAGAAACCGTTTGTTGAAATTTGAAACAACTCTTTAATGAGGGTGTGGGTGTGGGGTGTGACTTACTTATGCAAAGTCTCACGCATGTTACCCACACCCACACCGATACCCTCAGCATCTTGAAAACATTATCCTCAATGTATTCTCATATAAAGAATTCAAATAATGGTAACTTCGGAACTTATCGGAAAAAAACGCCTTTGAATTCATCTGTTAGCGAACATTTTGCCTACACAGTGATGTACTTTATTGTTAAAATATTAAGAAGGCTCATTGTCATGAATCATTGATTGAGTTCTGTTATGATTTAGAATCCGATCGACAAAACATTTCAGACTATTAGAACACTTGATACTGACACTCTTTCCCTAATTTCCTTCCGATCCTGTTGGAGTTCTGGAGAGTGGTTGGCATGCTAAAAAATCATTTCATAATATTATAAAATTCTTGAAAGACTTCTACAAATACCATCTTCTTTTGCTTTCTCTTCATCAAACACCGCTGACAATCTTCATTTGGCAATCCTCGGTGACTCCAGAACACCTGTTTCCACTTTTCAAACATGAAAATCAAATTGTTTTGTATTTTTGGTATAGTCGTTCAAGTCGTTTTTTCTATCAACACTCGCCTGCACCAACTCTCATACACCTGCCTTTTTATAGCTTTGATCACAGTTCGCTCCGTCTTACCATGACTATGAACTGAAAAGTTGAGAAGAGGTTCAAAACCTGGATGCACGTCAAGTTCATTCCAAAAATGTGGCTGATGAAGGAATCAGCGAGTTGTTGAAACCGCTAACAACTGTTTTTTCTCCATTTCTTCCGTCCAGATCGAATATGCGAAAAGAAGAAAAATCGAGATAGATTGAGCTAGCGTATTTTTTCAGAAGAAAAATGATCAGGGGAAATGCCAATTTAAGCATTATTAGTCGTCGAAGAGCCTTTTTCCAGATAAATTTTGTAGTGAAGATTTCGGTCTCTTTACTAACAAACGTTCAGCATATCTGGTTCACATTGGAAAATCGCTCGTTCTCTTCATTACTTTTTGCACTATAGGGTGAGTCGGAAGAATTGACTTTGGAAGAGTTCATTTTTTCACTTCTCTTACTGATTTATCAGATCGCTAAGATTTGCTCAGACAACTGCTAAAGTCAAGGGGATGCGGGGATGCGTCTTCTCTTCATCCACAAACACAGTCACACCCAACATTCATCTTCAACCCCATACGCCACATTCACACTCTGCGCCCACACCCACGTCGTCAAGACTTATGATGCACTCATATGGATCTTTCATGTACGACCGTTATGGCTGAATAGTTAAGATGTTCGAACGTCGGCGCCATCGGACATGGATTGACCTTGGCCAAGTTACTAACGGCTGTTTGTCTCGGATCACCCATCCGATAGCACACTGACTACGTGGGGCATGCACAAAAAGCCCTTGTGGCTAGTATGTGGTTAGTCAGTATGCACGAAGAGCTTAAGCAATTAAGCGGGAGGAATTCTGAGTCAGGTTGGCCTTCTGTCCAGAGCTGCAGCTGGTAATAGTAGTAGGAAAACATCGGGCTTTCGAATCTATCCTTGGACAGCACCCTATACTGCCTGGTAGCCGAAAGGCAAAGGTATTCTTCTTCATTTACGATACTTAAATCGAAAATAAACAAAAAAAGACCCCCCCCCCCTCCCTTGGATATAGACACAGTTTATTGGTCTTGTGATGAACACTGTCTTAGTTTATTCGATGTGTTCTTGATATTATACAATTTGTCAAAGAAGGGTAGCCGACTGCTGTTGTTCGTCTTATGGTAAGTGATTTTTCACAGCTATTTTGTGTATCTTATGTTCTTCTTTTTTTGTCATCGTCATCATCTGTGTTATCATTATTATTAACGCGAAAATAATCTTTGTCAACTTCTTCTACTTGTAAATATCGTTTACCATCGACATTTGTCCAATATTTATTTTCATCTAACATACGTTCGTCTGTTGACATTTCATTTTCAATTGCAAATACAATACGTGCTCGTTCCAAATGCCTATTGAAAAGAATAAATCAGAGAGAGAAATAAGTAAATCGAACGAACCATATATGTGTAGCACCTTCGATTACATTTCCATATGTATCACCCATCATAGCAATGAGTAAATTGAGGAGAAGAATGGTAACAACAATAACGTAAATGACAAGTAATGAAACACTGGCATATTGAAATGTTGTTCCCGTGTAATGATCAATATCAAAATCACCCAACATACCAAGAAAACATTGTTTGACACTCATAAAAAAACCACCAAAACCTATAATATACAAGATAGCAACACACAATATGTCTTATTCTATTTACCGTTATTATTGAATAGAACAAAGAATGCTTGTGAAAAACCGATAAGAAATACCATATAAATAATACAAAAACGAAGGACATCATGAAAAAGCATTTCATAAATCATAACCACAAATGGTCCAGTAAGTTGAAAAGCCATAACAAAAAATAGCATGTAACCCCAACCTATTATAGAGACAAGTGCTAGTACGGTCGTTTGCGCTTGTATATTGAGAAGACGAAAAATGTTAACAATAATGATACCAGCACAAAATAAACATGCTAGACAATTTTCAAGAAAGCCAGAACCCTAGTTAAAAATAAGAACGTATACGATTCATGATAAACATCAGAAATAGAAAAGTTCACCTTAGTCTGAAAATATTTTTTTATGCCCACTTTGCTCATTTCCCTGACTTCACATTTGCCCTTCGAAACAGCTCCAATCAACACAATGAGACGGCCTATTATACATATCATTTGATGAAATATACCTGGATATTCAACACTAATGACTACATTTTCATCACCTTCATGTTTTATCTGCAATTGAAACAAAAACAGAAAAAAAATTTCTATCTACGAATGTTTTTTGAGTTGATGCTTTTACCCTTTCTATTCGTGTCTGATCGAGAATTGTAGTCAGAAGAAAAACGAATAGATAGGCAAGAGTGACAAGAAAACGTCGAAAAAAATATCGTCGAGCAAAACGTTCCCACTTTCTATCGACTAAATCGATAAGACGCGGATGCATAATAAGTTCAGCATGAGCACTTTGTACGATCAATTCAAGAGCTCCAGGTGGTGCATCCTCGTCCTTAATGAATGCCAAAAAAATAAACAGAGGGAGAGACACAGAAAGAGAGAGTATATACTCACTTCTTGTTGAAATTCAAGATCGACTTCATCAAGTGGATAGAGTACACACGAGACAGGTCCATAACGCCATTGAACATTTTTACGTTCGTCAAGTAAAAAAGAGAACATATCAGATAGACCTAGTTTAGCTGCTAGTGTCAATGGAGTGAAACCATCTTTATTGAGACGTTTCCATAGTGGACTCTCTTTTTCCTTTTCGGATGTGACTACTTTATCCCTGTCACCAACATCGTCATTTCCATCGTTCGTCTTGCTAGTCGTCGCTGCGTGTACTTCCATCCAACGTTCCTTGAATTTGGTATACGTCTTTGGTAGATTATGAATTACAAGTAAATGCAATATTGTGTTGCCATTGCTGTCAACCTACAATAGAGAGTAAAACAACAATTGCCTACGTGACTTGTCTTGTGAAAAACATCGTTGTCTACTGACCATATCCAGCGAAGCACCGTACTTCAGTAGAATTTCGACAATATTCCATTGATTAGTACAGCAAGCGAATGCAAAAGGAGTTTCACCATAATAACATGGCCGACCACTGAAAAGAAATGAAACATATTGATGTAATCTCAAAAGCGTTTATATATATATATATACAATTTGAAAAAGTGTCCGCTGGCGGTAGCTCTTAATTGCTGTTCTCGATAGGGTCGATTGCGTTCATCGCCGAGGAGCCATTGGACCATGGCTGCATTGCGATTGGTAATAGCAATATGAAGAACAATCTCCCCATAATATTCCTGTGTTGTGTGTGTATGTCATTCAACAGAGAGATAAATGAATAACAAGTTACTCACTGGCTGATTATAGCTCTGTACGATAGTCTCTGGAAAACGTGTGATGAGATATTGAGCCATATTGAGATGAGCTTCAGTTCCATATAAGAATAACATATGAATGGGACACTCACCAACAGGACCTCTTGCATTGATACTGTTGGAATCAGCATCGAGAAGGCGTTCGAGTGCTGCCTGATCCGCTTTACGTACAGCTTCCCAAATAGTACCACTCTTGTGTGAAGCTTCCGTTTGTCGTTCAACTGCCGATTGATTCGAACGTTCATCGAGTGCTTCTGTTTCTAATTCTTTAGCTCGTGCCATACTATTGATAGTAATTTAGAAGTTCTTTACGAGGGTCTTTTGACAAATGATTAAAATATTTTTAGCTAGAACCCTAGCCCATAAGTCATACCGCAGTAAGATACGAAAGACCTCAAAAGGCTATGTGGCAATGAGCCTTTTCGTGTGTACAACCGTTTTATTGAATTTCCTATCGTTTACACGCGATTTCAAGGAAAAATGGAATAAACACATTTTGATCTGAAATTTTGGCGATGTATTGATGTAGCGACCCGTAGAATTCGTGAAAATCCCCAGGCATAAATGGACGCTTCTTTTTGGTTCTATGGAATTTCGACAAAAAGAATTTCGTCATCTGAATTTCGACCATGTCCAAATTCAGATGGCGAAATTCTTTTTGTCGAAATTCCATTTTACCCTTCTTTTTCGATATTGACTTTTGAGAAAATGTGGATATTTTACAAAAAAACAGTTGAATTTTCTGAAACATCACTAGACTCGAACAAGAATCATTCTTTTATGGCTGAAAATTTTCCTGTATTCTAGGGCGAAATAAGTTGATTGAATTTTTTCTTTAAATACCGTGTCCAAGTCAAAATTCAGTGAAGGGGCCCTAATTGATGAAATGACACATATCCTATTGAGGAGTTTTCCTGCTTCATTGAGATTGAACTTATGGAAAAACTTTTAATTCAACATCTTCTAATCACTCAACTGGGCTTCCTTATTGGTTGCTTGAAACTAGTAACTAAAAAGTTACTCGACTACAGTAATTCAGAGTAACTCGACTTAAAAGTGATTTTAATTTGTTCCAAATCCGAGTTTGCACAAAATGAGATCATTTTTTGATATATTTTCAATAAAATGAGCAAAAGTTTTCGAGCATCGGGAACAAAAATTTTCGATCACTACTCACGAATATTGCCACCTCTTCTGCTTTTAGCAGAAAAATTCTGATTTTCGAAGATGTTTCTGCTTTTCGAGTGCTGAAAGGTGGCTGTGATCATTGTATTCACCCTCATTGTGGTGGATAGGATAGCAGGAATTTCACTGTGTTGACTTTGACAGTTGACTTTCTGCAACAGCCAAAAGTTTTGTAATAGGATCTTGATATTGTCTGTTAACTAAATAAGCTGCCACTGGACTTTTGACAATATATCGTTTCATGTTGCCAAAATTCCAAGGATAAGAAATTTTTGACTTTGAGATTGGAATCATTAGAATTTGCATTCGAATCCGTTAGTTTGCTAACTGCTATACATTTCTAACCAGAGATTAACCATGGATTACCGAAAGTGCGATTTTCCAAACATAGTTAATTAGAAAAATGACGATGTCATCTAGACTTTTGGCCGTAGTCAAAAGTTCTTCTTTTGTTGAACTTTCTCTTGGATCTTGATTGAGCTTTCGACAATAGCCGAAAGTCAACGACCAAAGTTAGCACTGCGAAATCTGTGTTTTCCGGCGGATAGGCGCTTATGCATACAGAGTTTCATTAACAATGTACTATGATAAAGGATATTATTTAATATTGCGTGAAACCGTTGTTTTGCGGTATGTTGAAATTCATCCTTCAACACATCTTGGAGCCTCCAACTTCAAGAAAATGC